GATGACCATTGCAGCGATTGAGGTGCAGTAATCATAGTGATAAATACAATGATAATTACAATAAACGTAATAAATATATGTGAACATTTCAGAATATTACACTTCAACAGGCGTGACAACATAAGTGTAAAAATTGTTGGGAATACAACTGCTTACTCAATGTAAATAAGTAGTATAAGACAATGTACAAAAGAGTGTAAAGGGAACGAGTAGGAATAATGTAAGACAAACTTAACAATCTCCTTTTAGCGTAAGGATTCAAGGTTAACATTAAGATGAATTAATGTTGAGAGCCAGTGTAATGAAGTATCATGGGTAAGAAGTTGAAAGGTAAGAAACTGGATTCTAGGAGTTTAAGTGTTAGTAGTTGATATTTAAGTGTTTTAGGGTTTGGAGGTAGGGATCAGTGGTTTTAGAAATAGGAATTAATTCATTCATTCATGATTTTAAAATTCCTAATCCTCTGACTTGATTAATGATACTACTGTAGGATTTCATATGGAAATCATTCATGGATGTATTGTAGAGAAGTAAACGGACTAACTCTTAAACGAATCAACCCTAAGCAGTAATATGAAAGAAATAGCCATAGTTAACACCTTTTGATTAGGCAAATTCAAGTTTAGAGACAAGCCATTGGCTTAACTTCACATCACTAAGGTATGCCACTACGGATTCCCTATTTCTAGGGTACAATATAACTTTAACTTGCAAAATACTGTTAGTTAGTACTTCAGAAGAAACTAAATAACTAGTCATAATTCAACTGTTGAATCTATAACTACATAGAATTGTATTCATCTTATTGTTTTTCTTCTTGAAAGTGATATTATGAACAAATGAATGATGAAGAGAATAATCAAAAAGTATTTCATTGAGAACTATTATGTTTTGAAGTGATAACGAGTTCACTTCGTCTACGAACGGAACAAAGACTCTGTGACCAAAGACCAATAAACTAGATATTTTGATGTGTCTCAGCTCCGTTAATTAGAGAGAGAGAGAGAGAAGTTGAAGTTTCAACATGGAAGTATATTCTGTAAAAAGCCAGAAACATGAACGATCACAACAGATACAAATCAAACGTATATATACAGCATAAAACTGTCCATGAGAAGCGTTACAAAATAGCATACTAAAAGATACAACAGATCAACAGCGTTTAAGATTCTCCCAAGTGGGAAATACGACATGAAGGTGTGTAGTGACCTACTTTTATGAAGAGAACGCGATTGGTTTAATGGAAACAATTATTATTATAACCAATTGTACCAGTGATTGTTTTACTGTACTTGTTTGTTTAACTGTACTAAAGACATTCTTCCTTCCATTGATTGTGACCTTGCACGAATCCGGTTACACTCAGTAGCCACACACTTGTAACCTGGCACGATCTCGGTATTCTTTCGATGCCATGAGATTGTCAACAAATACATCTCGACTACAGTCATCAACTGTCTTCTGTTATTTGACTTACGGGGGATCTTATCGGTAAACTGGAACGTAGTCTTCCTGTAGTGGTGATCATCGTCAACAGCGACTCGACGCCACATTACAGGTGTAAAGTGCACTTTCGTCGCGAAACCAAAAAAATTCAAATTTTCAAAATAAAATTACAAAATTAAGGTATTTACTAAGCGAGTTCTGAGGATCTAACATCTCCAACAAGAACTTAGTCTGAGCTAAGTCGAATATGATTAGAAGCTTATGAATGATACTTTCAAGAATGTTTCATACCGTTTATGAATAGGTGTGTAGGCTTGAAACGTTATACAGTTGTGAAATAGCATATGTGTATTTAGATCCCATTCCTTGAATGACTGATTATTTTGTGTTTTGATATTGTAATGCTTCTGTACTTCCGTCTATTTCATTAAATATTATAATATTCTCTTCATTAAGTCAATGACTGTCCATTAAAGGCGAGATGATGGATTTATGGAGGTCTTGGATGTTGGCGCAGAATTCATCCATTCATATGGTTAAAAGATATTTTAGGATTCTAACTGATGTCAGTTCGCGATGGAGACCCACAAATCGAATTCCCAAATTTAACTATCAATTGTAAATCACAATCTTCATTCTTTACACAGGTTTATCACTCCAATTTAGCCTTGGTAAGTAGGCGAACATCCTAAAGGCCACATTGGAGTCAATCAAATGTCGTCCATAATATATAGTCTTACCCCATTAGCTGAAATCTGCAACACAAAGATCCTGATTATGTACATTTTGTAAATTATTAGTGTCCGTGCAATGGAAACCGAAGTTTCAGTGAATAATCTAATCAGAACCTGTAAGAGTCTTTTAAAATATCAAAACAGCATTCTACGATTAGACGACAGCATAACTTGCCTCCTTACAAATTAGCTGAATTCCGTTATTGACTAACACGATTAAAGTCGACCATTATAAACGAGGATAGGCGATAACAAACATTCATTACGATCTTTTTGGAGTCAGATCTCGGGCCACTAAAATGGAGACAACATCTTTCGACAACATCTTTCAATCTAAATGATGACAAAATTAAAAGGCCCCATAAATGTAATAGCCATTACTAATAACTATAAATACCTAAGTTTTTCTGTACATTTTTAAAATTCTTACTCAATAATCACTTCCTTTGCTCCTTCCAACTTTTGATTTATGACTGTTGGGTTCTACTGTAGTGAACAAGAACAAAGGCGAGGTCAATCAAATGGATTTGATTACAAAATCTTAGAATCATACAGTAAATACTTCATTTACAAAGTGTCAATCAATCGTTTCAGATTTTAATGTTCCTTGATTTCCGTATTAATCCCTCTCTGTCCTCATTCTCTTTTATTCGATCTTCTTAATCTTCTACCCCAAGGTATTTCACTTTCGATAGGTGTGACATACTACTTATATCTATCGACATCAGTAGCACACATCACACTACAAGTATGGCTGCCATCAGTTATAGATCATGTTCTACTGCAATTAGTAGAGGATGTAACTGGGAAAACCAGTATCTTTGTTACTAACATCATTGAACATTGTCTGACAAAAGACTGTAGGCACAAATGAAATCAAATCACTTATACTACTTTGATTAAACTTTGACAGTTAGAATATTTGTACACATGGACTCCAGGATTCTGAAGGAACAAATGGCGTATGAATCAATTGTTGGTCATCGGCTACCAGGGGACTACATCTCTTGACGTTGCTTTAAGGCTTTGTGGATCAAACCTTTAGGTCGGAGGTTCCGGGTGTGGCCTCCTAAGAAAACCGTTTGCTTTGGTCTGGGCACTCGGGAAGTATCATAGCCTACACACAAATCAAGTGACTTATGTGACGTATATGTATTCGGTACCTCTTTGTACCAATATTTATGTGTTCGAATAAATAAATAGAAGAATATTTGTAAATAAGCAATTTGATCATTGATGCTCTAAAGAACTAACTGAAACTTGAGCATGAAACGTCGTAACTTCAATTTTCTACTCACTAAGATGTTATAAATACATCACTTATTTTATTTTCATCAATCTTCGCAATCAGTACAGATGGATAATAACCAGCAATGGAATCCAGGATGCATGTTTCATCATATTCCGGGATTGTGGATGAGCACTGCTGAGGAGTCCCATACTAGGACGAAACGGCCGTTCAGTGCCTCCAAGTTTTCCATGGTGGTATATCTTAAATGACTCATCGATTCAATTATAAAATTGCTAAAAAATCTCCATGAAACCCACTTCTGATAATAATCTTATGTTCACTAGTGGCTGGCTTCAATTGGTATTTCATAGAATTCTGGTGAGAAACCGTAACCAGTGGAGTTCACAACTGTGTCTGTAGTCAGATAGTAGCCCACTGAAAACAATGGTAGATATTGGCTCGATTTTATAAATTGGTTTGGGTTAGACATCAATACCGTTGGATGCTGATCAGTTCACTAGTCTAGAGGTTAGGTGTTTGAGCGCGAGACTTGAGGTTTTGTGTTCGAATCTCACGAGGCGGGATCGTGGATGCACAATACTGAGGAGTCCTACACTAGGACGAAACAGTCATCCATTGCTTCGAGGTTTTCCATACTGGCCTAGCTTCAATAGACCCATGAATTGAACTATAGAAATGAACAGCGAGACTCTAATTTATGGACGACCATTGAACGAAACTTTAGTGACCGTGAGAAATATTAGCCAATCAGTAAACAGTCAGTATAGAGTAAAAATATGTTATACAAAACCAAGGAAATAAAGTGGATACACTTCTTAGACGTGGTTCAACAACTTGTAAAGGTTATAAAGAGGTTCAGAGGTTCTAAAATGCAAATGCATCCAGTAGAGGAAATCATCCATACAGCTACAGAATAGTCGGCATCTGGAGTCATAATAAAGTCTCAAAAACTCTTTCTGCCTCTAACACATAACTTCAATATTGTTTATGTGCACTCCGGTTGTTGAGTTCACAAAATGCTACTTGTGGATAACGACACGATACACATAACCAAGCCTATGTAAGAGTCTGTACGCACCCCGAACATCCGTATATATTGTAGTACCTGTCTGTAGCCAGTGTTACTGATGATTTTATTATCCAGTTCGCAATCATTGTCATAATTTGCCTTAGTTAGGAACTATATATATATAGGGTTTTCATCACGACCTCACATCAGCTATAATGCCAGGAGTTTATTTAACCAAAAGGATGAAAGGCTTTCGCGTTAAAATCTGTGATTGATTATCTTATACCTGATTGTTTCGTCCATAAATTATAGTCTCGTCGTTTTATTTGTGATCGTTTTATTTATGATCACATTTTCTACAAAATCCCATGTGAACTGATCGTACATAAGTATTAAACAGTGAAATTGGCGCCGTAACCTTGAACTCTCTAAAACGCTTCTGATTGGCTCATCCATAAATGAGAGTCTCACCAAAAAGAACTAGTCTATTTTAATTATCTTGATAAAAGAACATTCGATCATCATTCTAATAATAAACACAAAAAAAAAACATAAATTCCATAGTAACAATTTTATTTTAATGAATAAAGTTGAATAGAAACACTCCGATTGGTCAATATGAATGAACTTTGTTTTTTTGATCAAGATGAAATAGTCTTTGAATGTGTACACAAGAAATAGACTGCTCCAATAATAAATATTGCTAATACTATACTAATAAGTAAATAGATTAGATAGATATAACCTAAATGTAATAATAAAAGAGAAAGAAACAACAACAACAACAATAAAAGGATGACAGTTTTCAGAGTTACGAATGGTAACTTAAAAAAGCAAGTTATGCTATGGAGGGGGGGGAATTGAAGTTAAACTATAACACTGTTAAAGATGATCAGTTCAATGTTGGATCTTCGGATGTTGGATAGTGAATATGTACTGGTAAAGATTTTCAGTGAGAGTATAATTTATGAACAAACCAATTAGATTTATGATAATAGGTCTTAGAGTTTGGCGCGAAATTCATCCACCTATTTGGCCAAATAGCATGTTAGCATTATAGATGATGGCAGTTTGTGATGAAAAACCGTAAATCTAATCGCTAATTTCTAACCATCCACTGTAAATTATGATCGTTATTCTTCAAATTGCTTGATGACCTTCATTTAACTTTAGTAAGTAGGTAGATACTCTCGAAGGTCAGTTTAACATTGATCAAAGATCGTCCATCAATTATGATCTCATCAGATTTTCATACTAGAATAAAACAATCATCTAGTACTTTCAAGTTTTTGTTATGTCCTGATAAGAATAATGAGTAGTAATTTTTGGGATCCATTTGTGGATCGTTGTGCGATCACTTGTTTGTGGTTGCTTGCAGAATATACTTTCCCATTCTAAGCTTGGATTTTTCCCTCTATTTAGCGAGGCTGGGACGCATCAAATAGCCAGCTTATTGGTCTTTGGTCACTGAGTTTTGGTTCTCGTTCGCAGATTAAGTGAACTCGTCATAGCTTCAAACCTAACAGTTTTCAATAATGATCTAACTTAACTTTCACAGATTGAAATCATGAGTCAGTTGAAGCTAGACCACCATTGAAAACCTGGAAGCACTGGACGGCCGTTTCGTCCTAGTATGGGACTCCTTAGCAGTGCGCATCCACGATCCCGCACCACGCGGGGCTCGAACCCAGGGCCTAATGGCTTCGCGCGCGAGCACTTAACCACTAGACCACTGAGCTGTCCGGCATCCAACGGTGTTAATGTCTAACTTCAACCAATCCACGAAGTTGCGCCACCTTACACCATTGTCTTCAGTGAGTTGATATCTCACAACATACCTGGTTGAACTCCACTGATAACGGCATCTCACTAGAACTTCTGGAGTTTTTCCTGAAGTCAGTCACTAGTGAGCAGTTGATTATTATCAGAATGGGTTTTGTGGAGATTTTAGAAATTTCACAGATCGAAATCATGAGTCAGTTGAAGCTAGACCACCACTGCTGAGGAGTCCCATACTAGGACGAAACGGCCGTCCAGTGCTTCCAGGTTTTCAATGGTGGTCTAGCTTCAACTGACTCATGATTTCAATCTGTGAAATTTCTAAAATCCACACAAAACCCATTCTGATAACTTAACTTTGTTCAAGATTTCAACATTTCTCTAAGAAATTAGAATTCATAACTGAATCCAATTGACAGTACATATATAAACGTAACATAAAACTTGACTGATAAATAGCAAAACTAACCTTCAAATGATGAATTTTCAGAGAGTGAAGACTGTGTATAATTTTTGATTATTTCATTCTTTACTGTATTTACTTCATTAATTTGGTTTGTATTTGAAATATTACTATTGATAACTAAAACAAAAGAATGATATGTACATGTTTAAATCAATTGTTTACTACTTCTGATGTCGGTGCCTATCAGGAGTGCTGTTCTGTGGATGCTGATATGGGCTTGGAACTGAGATGATAGTTCGTGTGAAGTTTGCTACATATATCGACATAAGTAGTTAATCAGAATGGGTTTTGTGGAGATTTTAGAAATTTCTCTGATTCAAATCATGAGTCAGTTGAATCTAGACCACAATGGAAAACCTGGAAGCACTTGGCGCCTGGCGCGAGACTGATAGGTCCTGGGTTCGAATCTCACGGGGTGCGGTATTTTGGGTGCGCACTGACGAGGAGTCCCATACTAAGACGAAACAGCCGTCCATTGCTTCCAGGTTTTCCATGGTAGTCTAGCTTTAATTGACTCATGATTTCAATCAGTGATAAGTAGTATATAACACTAGTCAAGACAACAATCTCTGGAAGTAGTACGTCAAGAACATAGAGATGGGAAGAGTGGGATCAGAAAGCAATTGGTATGGAACTGTAAGAATAATGAAGTCAGAAGACGATTGACAATTGATATTTGCAAAAAAATGGAACAATCACGTTTGAGTCACCAACTTCAATAGGGATAGATAATAATGGTATATACGACAAGTTATTCACACCACTTTGATGAATTTGGATATAATCATGATATTATTATTATTACTATACAGATAGGTGTTACCGAACTCATGAAATAGATTAGTAGAGATTAAGAGAACTAGACGAATTACTGGGTACTTATGTATATAAGTTAGCGTGTGTTTTTTTAACGAGTTCGTTTTCTATGGGAAGAGGAAGGTCAAAGGACACATTACATCGAGAAATAGAAGCAGATATGAATAGGTTGAATAATAAATTGGAAAGATTGCCCAGAACAGGGTTGGATGGCGAGTGCTCGTGGGCGGCCTATGCTCCTCCACGAGGAGTAACAGACGTAAGTAAGTAAGTCTATATAAATGTCAATACGTAGAATGTAATAAAAAAGTAATCAACAAGAACACTAACGTAACTCACCTTTGTTTGTAGGTTTTACATTTTGTATTAATATTCGTTTGGTTATAGTCGATGGAATGAGTGTCGCTGTTGTTGCTGTCGTTGATATATTCAACAGATCTTCCGGTTTTTCTGTTTCAGTCTTAACTGAAAAAAAGAAATTAGAAAATCCCTAATACAATCAAATTTTTCTCAATTCTATCTATATTAGTATCGATTGCCAATATTGATTTAATGTATATTTAGATCAATAAAACTGATCTTTGCTACACCATCATGGAATTCCACATTAGTGACTATTCATGATCTTCAAACTGGAAATAAAATCAAACAACTTCAGTTTGTTGATCAAATCACTAATCACTTGATCAGATTGTGATGTGTGCTACTTATATTGACGTAAGTCTCCACCCGTGTTCTGTTCATTACAACATTACGAACACCTAACTCTAATTAATTCACTATATTGAATGATCATCTTCCATAAGATGTGAGGTGTATAAGTGTTTCATATAAAATATAGTTGAACTACACCCTTCATACCATATCAGTAACCCATCATAATGTTTAAATGACTATAAATAATAAATGGATTGAATATCGCAGTCAGTGTGGGGTCATTGAAATTATTAAGTTTTTGATTGAGATCATGATCCACGTTTTGAACCATGAAAGCAGGATCATGTATGTGCACTGATGAGGAGTCCCACAATAAGATGAAACATCCATCCATTGCTTCCAGGTTTTCAATGATGGTCTAACATCAATCAGTTCATGATCTCAATCAAAAAAGTGTGTTCATTATGATTTCAGTTAATATGCGAAAGATATAAAACTAAGTGTATTATAATGCTGTCCAATAAATGCTTTAGTAAAGGTAAACATTGGTATTAATTTTTATGGAAAAAAATATACACAACCGAAATTTCACTGGTTGAAATCATGAGTCAATTGAAGCTAGACTACCATGGAAAACCTGGAAGCAATGGACGGCTGTTTCGTCTTAGTATGGGACTCCTCAGCAATGCGCATCCAAGACCCCCGCACCCCGTGAGATTCGAACCCAGGACCTATCAGTCTCGCGTCAGACGCAAAGTGCTTCCAGATTTTCCATAGTGGTCTAGCTTCAATCGACGCATGATTTCAATCAGAGAAATTTTTAAAATCTCCACAAAACCCCTTCTGACAAAACTGGAATTGTTATTATTATGGTATGTCGACAGATATAAATATTATGTAATACCCATAGAAAGTGGAATGCCTAGAGATAAAAGGTTGAGAAAATCGAAGAGAAGAGAATGTGAACAGAGAGTGATTATTATGGATACGGAAGAGAAAAAAAAGTCTGAGACAGGTGATGAATATTTTGCAAATGAAGTATCGATGCATGATTCTTGGATTTTACAAACATACTTACGCCTGATACCCAGCATAAAGAAGTCTAGACCGCCCACCACCATTCTCCATCGAACTCTGTCATGAGTTATACCTTACAGTTGTTTCCAGTTGATATTCATGCTTTTCATGTTCGTTTATAGTTACCGACGCAATTTATTCCGTCGTCTACCTCTTTTACACTTTCTTTCAAGATTCCTAGTTAGGGATTGATTCGTGATGCAGTTTGATGATTTGCGTAATGTATGTCCTATCCATTTCCATCGTCTTTTCATAATTTCCTCTTCAATTGGAAGTTGGTTTGTTCTCTCTCTCACATTAGTTTATTGCTGATGATATCCGGTCAACAGACATTCAGTATCTTCCATAGACAACTATTTATAAATAGTTGTACCTTCTTGATGATAGTTATAGTAGTTCTCTAAGATTCAGCTTCATACAATAGAACTGTCTTGACTTTCTTATTGAAGGTTGTGAAATCATTAGCTAATCGTTCAATATGATAGAATATAAAAATCTGGGAATATCAGTCAGATTTTGCAAGAGATGAACATCAGAAGACGACAGTATAATAAAGAGTTGGAGACTGTATTGAAAAAAAGAAGATTAAGATCACCACAGGTTATTAGACAAATATCCGATCACTATGGTAGAGAAAGGCTAATTAAACGTTTTTTCTGTAGATGTAAGTCAGGTTGGAAAGATTTGATAACAATCGCCTGTGCAAGATGAATTAAGATCGATGATTGAATGTATCACTTACATTCACCTCGTGTCAACTATCGACAAGATTTCTGGCAACTACACTTGTAAAGACTTTACTTTTTTCCGTCGTAGGTTCCTAAGGCTGTGTTCAAAAGATCTTGTAAAGGGTCTTCTTTCTATCTTTCCTATTGACTTGCTATCACAGGTACATGTAGACTATCAAACTACAGTAGGCTAAACACTTGTTAATAATTATATTTATGAGTCAATTGCAGCTAGACTACCATGGATAACCTGAAAGCAATAGATGACTATTTCGTCCTAGTATTGGACTTCTCAACAGTGTGCATCCATGATTGCGCTCGCTAGATTTCTTAACCTCTAGATCACTCAGTTGATATCTAATAGTGTTAATATCTAACTTCAACTAATCCACGAAACTGCTCCATCATCCACCATTGTTTTCAGTGAGTTACTGTCTCACAACAGACCTAGTTGAACTCTAATGGTCACTAGAAGAAACGGCTGTCCAGTGTTTCCAGGTTTTCAATAATCTTCTAACATTAATCTACTGATGAATTCAACTATACAGCATAATAGTCAAATACAGTATGATTTCGTTCAAGTGCCTTAACGATTACTGGTTAGCGTTTTATTTAGGAAGTTAGTTTTCTACAGGATGGAGTCGCTAAACCCATGTCCAACCCTCCTTCTTTATTCAGGTTTAAGACTGGCAGTAGCCCCCGGAGGGGCTCCAGGCAGAGTTGCCTGAATGATTACAAACCCATTTATTTGTTTGGATATAATAATGATAATAATTTAAGCAAATCTTTAGTTACATTTAAAATGCCCGGCTTCTCAATATTCCTCAAACGCTTCATAACTTTTACTGTGATACGTTCATTGATGCGGTCGAACTGTGACTTACGTGTTTTAGATTGATGTGAAATTTCCTTGGCAATTTCTGTTAGATATTTGTTTTCAACTAAAATATATATAGAATACATGCTAAATTGGAGCACATTTAATCAATACAGAATCAATCAATGTACAATCGAATAAATATGACTAACAGTGAAATGCGGAATGTCACTCTACGAACAATCGAAGAAATCAAGATGGCCATCGGATAAATCAAGAATTGGAAAGCAACAAAACCTGACAATATATCAGGTGAAGCATTAAAGTCCGACATAGAAGTAACAGTAAACATGCTTCACTTCCTATTCAAAAAGATTTGGAAGGTGGAACAAATGTCAACGAACTGGAAAGAAGGATACCTCATGAAGATGCCAAAAAGGGAGATCTAAGCAAATGTGAGAACTACAGAAAAATCACACTAGTATAGATAGAAAGAAACGTTTTCAACAGTGTGTTGCTGAACCGGATGAAAGACGCAGTAGACGCTCAACATTGAGATCAATAGGCTGGATTCCGTAAGCATCGGTCGTACACAGACCAAATTGCAACACTACGGATCATCTTCGAACAATTAGTTGAGTGCAACTTGTCAATATACATTTATTTCACTAAATATGAGAAAGAATTTTACAGTGTAGATAGGAGAACATTATGGAAACGTCTTGGACACTATATAGTTCCCGAGAAGATTGTCATCAATATCCGAAACTCACGATGGACTATATTGCAAATTCGTGCATAGAGGACAGGTGACAGATGCAATCCAAGTAAGAACTGGAGTCAAACAAGGTTGCTTAATCCCCTCTTCTCCTTCTTCTGGTGGTTGATTGGATTACAAAGGCTTCCACATCTGAGAGGAAGCACAGAATACAATGAACAGCCCGGAATCAACTAGACAATTTGAACTCTGCAGATAACTTGACCCTTCTATCCCATACACACCAACGAATGAAGGTTAAGACAAACAGTGTGGCAGCAGTCTCTGAATCAGCATGCCTCAACATACATAAAGCCAAAGCAAGATCCTCAAATACAACACGGAGAACACCAACCCAATTACATTTGATAGAGAAACTCTGGAACATATGGAATTTCTCAGGTACCTGAACATCATCAATAAACTTGGAGGATCAGATGCAGACGTAAAGGCGAAGATTGGCAAATCAAAGATAGCATTCTTCCAGTTGATGAATATATAGAACTCAAAACAGCTGTCAACCAATATCAAAGTCACAACCTCCAATAAGAAAGTCAAGACAGTTCTATTGTATGGAGCTGAATCTTAGAGAACTACTATAACTATCATCAAGAAGGTACAAGTATTTATAAATAGTTGTCTATGCAAGATACTGAATGTCTGTTGACCGGATATCATCAGCAATAAACTAATGTGGGAGAGAGAACAAACCAACTTCCAATTGAAGAGGAAATTATGAAAAGACGATGGTAATGGATAGGACACACATTGAGGAAGTTACTAAACTACATCACGAATCAATCCCTAACTTGGAATCCTGAGGTAAAGCAGAGAACATCAAGACCGAATAACACATTATTTCAAGAAATAGAAGCAGATATAAAAAAGTTAAATAACAACTGGAGAGAATTGCCCAGGATAGATTTGGATAGAGAGTGCTAGTGAGCAGCCTATGCTCCTCAATGATCAAGTAACCGTAGTAAATAAAGTAAAGTAATATAAAACTCGCATAAATTCAATATATCTATATAACTGTGTTTCAAATGAAATAAAATACTCTTCCTTTATTCAACTATTAACAATATTTCAACTATTCTATATAGTTGAGATCATGAATCAATTGATGTTAGACCACCGTTGGTAACCTGGAAGCACTGGACGGCCGTTTCGTCCTAGTACGGGACTCAGCAGTGCGCATCCACGATCCCGCACCCCGCGGGATTTAAACCCAGGACCCACTGGCTTCGAGCCTGAGCACTTAACCATTAGATCACTGAGCCGGCATCCAATACTGTTAGTGTCTAACATCAACCAATCCACGAAATTGCGCGACCAACTTCCATTTAATTATTTTTTCATATTAAACAAAAGTTTATTATCAGAAGGGGTTTTGTGGAGATTTTAGTAATTTCAATAGTTGAACTCCTAAGTCGTGGATTGGTTGAAGTTAGACATTAACACCGTCGGACGCCGGCTCAGTGGTCTAATGGTTAAGCGCTCACGCACGAGACTGATAGGTCCTGAGTTCGAATCCCGCGGTGGGCGGGTTCGTGGATGCACACTGCTGAGTCCTATACTAGGACGAAACGGCCGTCCAGTGCTTCCAGGTTTCCAACGGTGGTCTAACATCATTTGGTTCATGATCTCAACCAAAAACTTAACAATCTCCACAACCCCCTTACTGATATTCTATGTAGATTTTTCTCATAATGGATAATATCAATGTAATCCTCTTTGAATACATCATACATCAATCGTAACTGTGATCTAATATCAATTCAATATAACAAGAACAGATTTTTGATTAAGATCATGAACCGATTGATGTCAGACCATCATTGAAAACCTGAAAGCATTAGACGGCCGTTTCGTCCTATTGGGGGGACTCCTCAGCAGTGCACAACCACGATCTCGCTTGCGTCATTCAAATCCACAACATATCTGTCTCGCATGTGAACGCTTAACCTATTGAATCACTGACAGGTTTATCTAAACTGTTGAAATATGAATTATTCTATGTATCTAACTTACATGAAACAATATTCATCCAATAAATATTAGAGACCCTTGTATCAATGAAACTATTTAAAGAACCACTATCTCCAAAATTTATAACATTATCTATATATTTATATAAAAAAAACAAAAAAAAAACAGAATACATTTTTTTACAATTTATATTGATTTATTATTGATTTATTAATTAGTTACCATGGTTACTTAAAATATTTCAAATGTTTACATAGAAATCATAAGTGCTCGGTTATTGGGGTCATTTATAAATCAATAATGTAGTGAGATTATAATTTATGGACGATTTTTGACTGATGCTAAACTGATCTTGAGAGTGTTCACTTAATAATTAGGACTAAATGAAGGTTATAAAACCAATGTGTAAGGAATTTATTTTATTTATTGTAACACATAGATATTGGTACAAAGAGGCACCAAATACATATGCGCCACACAAATCTCATTCGATATGTGTGAGGACTGGAATACTGCCCGGGTGCCAAAAACCGAAGTAGGTGGTTTTCTGAGGGGGCCAAACCCAGAGCTTTTGACCTGAAGGTCTGATCCATAAGGTAGTAGAGCAATGTCAGGAGATGTGGTCCATGATAGCCGGTGACCAACGATCGGTCCATACGCCATTTGTTCGTTCAGGATACTGGAGCCCATGTACACCATTGATTTGGAATCCGGTTAAAGCGCCGGACATTCGCTTTTCTTCTTCTAAGTTTCGTAAACAACATCCCCGCCACGAGAAGGCAGTGAGTAGGACTTCCCTGGCAGAAGCATTAGAATTATGTTTTACAGTTGGTGATTATATGTAAGGTTTTTAAGATGCTATTTAGTTAAATGGATGAATGAACTTCATGTCAAAGTTCGAGACCTGTTAACTTATATCTGATTGATTCGTCCATAAATGATAGTCTTTCTAGTAATGGATTAAGTTTTGTAACTGGGTAATGAATTTACTTCATGATGTATAACTTCATAGCTAAAGAAGCTTAATCATTGGAATATGTCAATAGTGAGATAGTATATTTGTGTCTTTAATGAATGAAAGGAAGATAATGTAGTTTCTATGACATTCGAATGGTAAATTGTTCTAACATATTTGTTTGTCAATAAATAAGAAATACAGTTGAACATTCTCAGTGTGTGGAGATAGTAAGTCATTGAAGACAATAGTGGACGGTGACTTAATTTTGTGAATTAGTTGAAGTTAGACATTGGGTTCCAGCTCAATGGTCTAGAGGTTAAGCATTCACGCGCTAAAGTGATAGTTCCTGAGTTGGAACCTCGCGAGGCGCGGTCGTGGGTTTGCATTGTTAAGGAGTGCATAACTAGGACGGAAAGGCTGTCTAATGCTTCCAGGTTATCCATGTTTGTCTAGATTCAATTGACTTATCAATTCAACTATAAAATTACTAAAAAACTTTACAAAACCCACTTCTGATACTAGTCAACATATGTTAACTAGTGACTGTCTCCAAGAGGTATTTTTGGAGTTCTACTGTGAAGCAGTGACCAGTGGAGTACAACCATGTCTGTTGTGAGATAGTAACTCACTGATGACAATGGTGGATGTATCGCTCAATTTCGTGGATTAGTTGAAGTTAGACATTAACACCGTTGGATGACGATCGTCTCAGTGATCTAGAGGTTAAGAGTTCACGTGCGAGATCGATCGATCCTAAATTTGAATCACACGAGACAGGATCGTGGGTTCACATCGCTGATGAGTTCCATACTGGGACGAATTAGTCATCCATTGCTTCCAAATTTTTTCATGGTGTTCTAGCTTCAATTCACTCGTGAATTAAACTATAAAAGTATTCAGATATGTGAAATAATGTGGGATTATATGAATTATTATGTTAACATTACCTTTATCATCATGTGGTATAAATTCAAAACATTTCTCTTCTGGATGATCCAATAACCTTTCTGTACATTTGGAAAAATAATGAAATAATAAAACATTATGAAGTTCTATAATGATCATGATATATTTTTCATTCGTCATTTGTCAATCTATCGTGTAAATTACATCATGGAGATTTGAAAGTTCATAAATCAATCTAATCTGACAGGACTTATTACCACCTACGTCTGTATGCCCCCAAATGCCCTGGTACGGCTGAGAGTCGGGAGAGTCCGCCCTCCATCTCGAAATGCTCTCACATGGCCACGCGTATGTAGCCCCTGCCAGGGAAGTCCTCACTGCCTTCTCGTGGCGGGGATGATGTTTACGAAACTGAGAAGAGGAAAAGCGAATGTCCGGCGCTTTAACCTGATTCCAAACCAATCGTGCACATGGGCTCCAGTATCCTGAAGGAACAAATGGCATATGAACCGATCGTTGGTCACCGGCTATCATGGACCGCATCTCTTGACGTTGCTCCACTGCCTTGTGGATCAGACCTTCAGGTCGAAGGCTCCGGGTTCGGCCCCTTGAGAAAACCACCTGCTTCGGTTTTGGCACCCGGGTAGTATCCCATCCCTCACACATATCAAATGAGATTTGTGTGGCGCATATATATTTTCCGCCTCCTTGTACCAATATCTGTGTGTTACAATAAATATGTATATACGTTTGTATTATATGTGTTCCTGTTCAAAAATATTAATTTCATAGAAGTTATCAGTTGTATGTTGAATAGATATATCTCGCTCAACTATTTCGTGATACAAATCTACCTGACTATGGAAAGAAAAGATGCACCGTTCGCATTCCAACTCAGGTCCTAAGTACACATGTCATTGTCGAAGAATAGACGATATATTTTGTGGTTGAACTTGAGTTACTGAGCTTCATAGTTTCAACTAGGTGTCAATGTGTTGTTAAGACTATAACTGAAAAACTTTGCCACTCAGATACTTACTTTATTTTGTGTATCGGCTAACTCAAGCCATCTAACATATAACTTTGTACATACAATATACAAGCACACAGATTATTGACGACATTGTAACTTAATCAACAGAATCTTCGACTAGCAATGCTTATGACGAGACAAATGAGAAATTTATCACTACCCGATGATGAATCACTGATCTTTTACGAACGTCTTTCTATTTATTTTGTATTATCAGCTATGAAATATCAAACAATCAACCTAATAAGAACATGAAATACATTTGAATGATAAAATTTGATTATGGAAGCATTGGTAGAAGTCAGATCAACTAAATAGATGAATTCATGAATCAATTAAAGATAGACTACCATATGGAACCTGGAAGCATTGAACGGTCATTTCGTCCTAGTATGGAACTCCTTAGCTGTACACATTCATAATCTCTCTCGTGGAATTCGAAACCAGTACCTATCGGTTTATACTCAGTCTAGCTTGAATTGACTCATGAATTCAACATGAATATCAACATCAAATCTTACGTTTAATAACCGATGATTGATTGTTAAAACAGTCTTTAAATGTCTTCGATCTATTCAGATATATTTCTGTGTATTGTAAATGAAAATCAAGATTACGTAATTCAAGGTTATTCAAGGGTACATGAAATCATATAAATATTGGATAATATTGTATATATTGTAGAATGTACTATAATATTTCCTATTACAATTGTCGAATAAAAGTTCTAGTGAGAAGCCATTACCAGTGGAGTTCAACCAGGTCTGTTGTGAGATTGGAAATCAGTGATGATGATGGTGTACGGTGACGCAACTTCGCGGATTGGTAGAAGTTAGACATTAACACCGTTGGATGTCCAACATCTCAGTGGTCTAGTTGGCTATGCACCTGGCGCAAGACTGATAGATTCTGGGTTTAAATCTCGCAGGGTGCGGGATGGAGTTCCATACTAGGACAGAACGGCCGTCCAGTGCTTCCAGGTTTTCCATGGTGGTCTAGCTCCAATTGACTTATGATTTCAATAAGTGAAATTCCTAAAATCTCCACAAAACCCATTCTGATAACCCGTTGACATCGTATAGGGCGTTTTGTTCTAGTGTAGAACTTTCTTGAATGATGTATCAATAACCTCATCAGTAAATGAACTCAAGATATTGAGAACATCTGAAGTTTGTGCTGATGATGTCGTTCAGAAGAATGATGAAAGCTCCACGATCATACAATCCAGCTCAGAGAACAAAACTTCATCAAAAACATGTGATAACTATTTATAACTTAGACTAGTCAATTAATTAATGATGAATTTTCCTCAGCTGTGATCCAATATTTCATTCTAGTGTAACCTGTTATTTATTGGTTGTTTATCTGAACTTCGCTTTCTAACTTACTGGATTCAAATATCTCAACAACTCATCTATACCAAATGACATGGTACGGTCGAGAGTGGAAAGAGTCAGCTCTCTTTCTCTCTCTCTCTCTCTCTCTCTCGACAAATGCTCTCACATGACCACATACATACAACCATTACCAGGGAACTTCTACTTACTGCCTTTTTGAGGCATTACTGTTGTTTATAAAATTGAGACGATGAAAAGTAAATATCCGATGCTTTAACCGAGTTGTTAGACACGGAGAGTCCATTAAGGCGAATTGAAAAACTCTGATTCCAAATCAATGCTTTACATGAGCTCCATGATCCTGAGCAGAACAAATGGCGTATGAACCAATTAGTGGTCACTGGCCACCATACGAATGCATTTCCTGACGTTGTTCTATTGCCTTGTGAGTCAAACCTTTAAGTCAAAGGCTCCGGATGTGGCCTTATAAGAAAATCAACTGTTTCGATTCGGTCACCCGGGTAATATAACAACCCTCATACAAATCAAATGATCTATGTATTCAAGAAAATAAACATAAAAGGTATACTATAGTACTTACGATACGTATCCTCTATGGATTCTATCACTTTCACAAATTCTAAAATAGTTTACAAATTCATAATAACAATTATATAATGAATACATCTTAAATGACATTACAATGTAATCATCATCGAAGATTCTAAGTATTCATTCGAATTCTTTTAGTGTTTTCTTACATTCTTATTCTTCAATGTTCCATAACCAATGATATAATGGTGTAATTGATTGAACAAATGATACTTCCGAGGGCGGAGAGAGTAAACTCTCCCCTCTCCGAATGCTTTCACATGGCTACGTGCATACAATCACTGCCTGAGAAATCCTACTTATTGCCTTCTCATAGATAGGGTATATTTTTACGAAATTAAGAGAACGAAAAACGAATGTCTGGCACTTTAACCGGGTTTGTGAACACGGGAGATCTACCTAGGGAAGTTGTAAAACCCTGATTCCAAATCAATATTGCACATGGACTCCAGGATCCTGAGCAGAACAAATGGCGTATGAACCAATCGTTGGTCATTGAGTACCATAGGATTGAATCTACTGACGTTGCTCTACTGTCTTGTGGATTAGACTTTTAGATGAAATGCTTGGGGTGTAGCTCCCCCCCCTCGCACCTAAGAAAACCACCTGCTTCGGTTTGGGCATCCGGGCAGTGACTAAATAATAATATATTCGATGAATCAATACTATTACACTCCCTGAAAGACTTCGACCACTTTCATTTATCATATTTTTTATACATAATTATTACTATTGAAATATGAATGAGTTCCGAAAAAAACGACAATGTATATTCAAAATTCGGATGGAAACAATGTTAAACATCCTAACAAAAAGATGGATAGTAACTAGCAGTGGAATCTAGGACGCGCATATCGACTGACCAATTGTAGTGTTAAACATCAATAGGAACATTCATGTTAAACAATAATCAAATGAATTTAAACTTCATCCTATTACACCAGTAAGTGACTATCAAGTCTCAGTAGCTAAGTGAATAATACAATAGTGTTTGAAGTTGACGGTATTAAGTTCGAGTCCCAGAATGAATATCAACTTTGAGATGTAAGTACATCCAACTGATGAGTCCCAAATAGGACAAAACGCTTGTCCTGAATTCCACTGTTAGTCATCATCCATCTCTACTTATAATACTTGTGAGTGAAGGCATTATCAACACATTACGTACAGTATGCACATATGCCAATAAAAGAGAGACTGATCCATTACAATACTAAACATCAATGGAAAAGATAGAAGTAAAACAATAACCATATGAGTTCAACATTTAAGATCATGAGTCAGTTGAAGCTAGACCATCATGAAAAACCTGGAAGAACTGGATGACGGTCCGTTTCGCCCTATTGTGGGACTCCTCAGTAGTGTGCAATATTCGATCCCAAGATTTCCATGGTGGTCTAGCTTCAATTGACTCATGATCTCAACTGTTGAAATTACTACAATCTCCACGAAACCCCTTCTGATACTAATCAACATATGCTCACTAGTGACTGGTTTCAAGAGATATATCCTGGAGTTCTAGTGCGAAGCAGTGACCAGTCGATTTCAACCGGGTCCGTTGTGAGGTAGTAACTCACTGATGACAATGGTGGATGTGTTGCTCAATTCCGTGGATTAGTTGAAGTTAGACATTAACAACGTCGGTTGCCGACTGGGTTAGTGGTCTGGAGATTAATCATTCCCGTGCGAGATTGGTAAGTCCTGGGTTCGAATCCCGCGACGCGGAGTCTGGGATGCAACCTGCTGGGGAGTCCCATAATAAGACGAAACGGACTGTCATTTAGTGCTTCCAAGTTTCCCATGGTAGTCTAGCTTCAATTGAATCATGATCTCAACTGTTGAAATTACTACAATCTCCACAACACCCCTTCTGATAATAATCATATGGATTTAATATGAAATATTATTCTCTTTATTCTAACCTTCCATAAGTTTTAATTCATTTTTAGCTTCTAACTGTTCATTTGAACACTTCACATCTAAAATCATTCAAATTTTATTACATAACTCAATCATTTCATTACATACATTCATTGACTTGTTTATATACATCTGCAGTCTTCTTCAATTGATCTGAAATAGATTTTATTATTATTAATGGCTTTAATACAATATAGAATACTGAGAACAAAGTATTTCAAAGAGTTTCTATGTCTTACTCAATCTTCTAACTTTTGGGGAAATCCCCAAAGTCAAATAACCATCACCAAGGTTTAGGGAAATCTTGGAGAATATTCTCAGGTTTGGGGAAATTTTGGAGAAATGGCTCTAAAACCCCGAAACTTCCCCAAAAATGGGTCAAATTTTCCCCTAAAATTAGGTGCTGGAATTACTTCTTGGTCGACCTTGACGATAACATAGTGAATGGTCACTAGTTTAGATGTTATCAGTCCAGTTAATCGCTATCTAATTCATGTATATTCCTTTTGATGTATATTGGTAGCAACCACAATGTCTCTGATTGAACTCTTTCCTAATTTGTACAACAAAAAGGTCGTGAACTTTATACAATCAATTATGTTAAAAACAAATAAGAAAACACAGATAACTTGTTGAAATGTCTAAATGACAGGAACAGGTAGCTCAGATATTTAAGTAGACGGTAATCAACAATCATGAAGCTTCCTTGAATTTTATTAGCTAATTCTGAAAATGAACAAAATATCTGACATGTGAAATGACGATTCGTTTAATTTAATTGTATGAATGTTTCCCAAATAACCGGTATGTTATTTGATAGTAACAACTGAATTTATTATTGTCACTTAAACATTTTAAGCGAAAATGGATAGTGGCTAGCAATGGAATCTAGGAGGTGCGTTTCGTCCTATTTGAGACTCGTCAACTGGATGTACTTGCATCACACAGTTGATGTTCACTCTGCGACATGAACCCAATACCGTCCACTTTAAACATAATCACTTTATGCACATAGCTACTAAGCACTAATAGCCAAGTACTTATGCAATGGAGTGAAGTCTTGTTCACTTGGTGTTGTTTACTTGAATCTTCCGATTGTTTTTCAGGACTGCAGGCACATCCAACTGACGAGTCCAAAATAAAACGAAATGCTCATCCTCCATTCCACTGCTAGCTATTATCCATCTTTGCTTAAAACATTTGTGACTTCAAGCAATATCGAGGCAGTCCACATAGGATGCACATAGACCAATAACAGACTGATCAATTACAATCCTAAATAACAATGGGAAAATACAAGTAAAACAATACCAAGTGAACATGGTTTATTGTGTTTTACATCAAAATCTGATCTTAACAACACCTTTATTGAAAATCAAGTAGTATCGAATATCTTAGATCTTCCTAGTATGGAATTTCACATTATTGAACAATCACAATCTTAAAATTGGAAATAGGATCAAACAAATTGCCGAGACTCTAATCTATGGACGATCAGAAGCGTTTGAGAGATCTCAAGGTTACGGTGTCAACTTCAGTGCTTAATGTAAACGTACGATCGGTTCACAACGAATTTTGTACAAAATGTGATAATTGAGCAGCTATAACAAATAAAACGACGAGTCTATAATTTATGGACGAATCATTCAGGTATAAGATAATCGATCACAGATTTTAACGCGAAAGCCTTTCATCCTTTTGGTTAAATAAACTCCTGGCATTATAGCTGATGTGAGGTCGTGATGAAAACCCCATATATAATGCTTAACTAAGGTAAATTATGACAATTATTGAGAACTGGATAATAAAAGAACCAGTAACACTGGCTGCACTCAGGTACTACAATATATACGGATGTTTGGAGAGTGTACAGACTCCTACATAGGCTTGATTATGTGAATTATGTCGTTATCCACAAGTAGCATTTTGTGTACTCAACAACCGGAGTGCACATAAACAATATTGAAGTTATGTGGTCGAGGCTGAAAGAGTATTTGAGACTTTATCATGACTCCAGATGCCGACTATTCTGTAGCTGTATGGATGATTTCCTCTACTGCATGCATTACGATTTTAGAACCTCTGAACCTCTTTCTAACCTTGACAAGTTTTTGAACTACGTCTAAGAAGTGTATCCACTTTATTTCCATGGTTTTGTATAACATATTTCTACTCTATACTGACTGTTTGGCTAATATTTCTCAATGTCACTTAAGATTCGTTCAATGATCGTCCATAAATTAGAGTCTCGTCAACACATTCAATGTGATAAACAAACTACTCATCACTCGATCACATTGTTCACATCTCACTCGAATCAATTCACTAAGTTGGATAATCATCTTCCATATGATGTAAGATGTATAACTGTCTTATATCGAATGGAATTAAACTACACTTACACACACAGACACACACTTCACATCTTATTTATATAGAAGATATACAACCCTTTAAAAAATTACCTGTTAAATTCTCGATTTGTTTTTCAGCATTTCTAAATTCTTTTATTATGTTTTGAATATTATCTTGAAATGACATAATAGAACATTTGAATAATCATAATTATTATAAGTAAAGATGAATAGTAACTAGCAATGGAATCCAAGATGAACGTTTCGTCCTCTTTTGGATTCGTCAACTGGATGTACTTTCATTACAGAGTTGATATTTACTCTGAGAAACGAACTAAATACCATCCACTTCAAACGCTATTTAGTTATCCACTTAGCTACTGAGTTCTGATAGCCATGTGCTTGTGCAATGGAATGATGTTATAGTCGTTTGGTGTTATTTACTTGATCAATTCACTTATCGTCCTAATATATAAGAGAAGGTTAAAATCATCCTGTGACAATCATAGAGGGATTAGTTTAACTAATATAGTATCTAAAATACTAGTCTCGATAATTATCAGACGCCTAACTAAGACTCGTGAACTGCAAACACGAGAGACTCAAGCTGGCTTCAGACCTGGTCATGGCTGCATCGACCACATATTCACCATTCGTCAGATTCTAGAACACAGGCATACTTATCGGCGTCCGACAATGGTGGTCTTTCTCGACTTAAAAGCAACATTTGACTCGGTAGACCGCGAGATTCTGTGGCAGTGTCTGTCATTGAAAGGCCTACCTCAGAAGTACATAAAACTTGTAAAGGCTCTTTACTCGAACAGTACCAGTCGAGTCAGAGCTTATGGCGAACTGTCATCTACTTTTGAAACCTCAAGTAGTATAAGACAAGGCTGTCCACTTCCTCCATTTTTGTTTAACTTCATCATAGACCTACAAATGGAAATAACATTCTCGTCGACTGAATTCTCGTTATTGATCTCCTTCCAGGAGGTCTACTTATCGACTTAGAATACGCTGATGACATAGTCCTGTTTGGTAAAGACGCTGATAAAATGCAGAGTTTTCTGGTAGCACTAAGGAACAATACCAGGATGTTTGGAATGGGTTTCTTCCCCTTCAAACGCAAGTTGTTGCTCCAGGACTGGCCTGCGTCAACACCTGAACTAAGGATTAGGAGTGAAGTAGTCGAAAGCGTCGACAACTTCACTTATCTTGGAAGTCTGATCAACCCTAATGGGTCCTACGTTGTAGCTGGCTGATTGACTGACCTAATCAATTATAGTGCTAAATATCAATTGGAAGATACAAGTAAAACAACACCAAGTGACCACAAGTATTAGTCGTATTCGACTCTTTATTATTGAAACTATAAAACTATGTATTCATCTTTGATGTTAAACAAATGCTTTCTTAAAGATAAACATCAATGAATATTTACATACATACAACATAGAATGGTGGTTGGAGGTAGTCAACAAGAAACCCTTGAACTAGGGTTTTGTGCTACTTGACACTTATCAGCAAGGTGTAACTGTAATCTTGAAGAAACTGATGCTCTCCAACGGATTTGATCCCATGTCACATAGCTTCACAGTCAAAGATGTTACCACTGGGCTATCCGGGTGGTGATCAATATTGTGTGTGTTAGGTTCTGTAAACTACCTCTAACCACCCCGTTATCTCAACATAATGTACATAATTTCGAGTCACTTACACTAGTGACCACATAACAACTTCGTCGATAGCATTCAATCTGCACGACGATCAACCTAACATATATGACACTGATCACCATCTAGTGACCAATCAATTGTGAATACATTCACCATATAGTTATGTTAAACAATCTGTCAATGTCTATATAATCTAGTCAACCATCAGAAGATAGAGAAAGGAAACGATTGCCTAGGGTAGAGTTGGATAAAGGATACTGATAAGCAACCTATACACTTTCTCGAAAGGTGCCACAACCGTAACTAAGTAAGTAAATTTAAAAACAACAAACGTTACACACACACACACACGAAAAAAAGAAAAAAAATTCTTAAATCTTTTATTCTCTTGTAACTTATTCAATCCATAGCTTACCATTATTATCTTTCAATTTACTGATTATAGATTGTTGTTTGACATCAGTACCTGGCAATAGACACAGAGTTCACTATTTTACAAAAGATCTTCATTAACATTTTACTTTAAAAAGAAGAATATTAACTTATCACATATGAAATGAAATACAAAACATTAGTTCATATGATTAATATAGGTTCAAATGTCGTGAGGCAAGATCGTAGATGTGCATTGTTGAAGAGTCCTAAAATAGGACGAAACGGCCGTTCAGTGCTTTCAGGTTTTCAACGCTATTCTAACATCAATCAGTTCATGATCTCAATCAAAAACTTAGTAATCTCCACAACCCCTATAATGATAATTATCATGTGCTCACTAGTGACTAGATTCGTGAGAGATTGCTCAGAGTTCCAGTGAGAAGTCGTGATCAGTGGAGCTAATCCGTGTCGGGTACAGACAGGTATCTACCTCAGTACAATGGAAGATAATTGAACAATTTAGTAGATTGGTTGATGTTAGACACTAACACCATTGGATGCTAGCTCTGTGGTCGAGTGGGCTAAGCGTTCTCGCGCGAGACTGAAGGCCCTGTGTTGGAATCCCGAGAGGTGAGATTGTGGATGTGCACTGCTGAGGAGTCCCACAATAGGACCGTTCAGTGCTTTCAGGTTTTCAACAGTGGTCTAACATCAATCAATTCATGATCTCAATCAAAAACGTTTATGAAAATTTCACGACATTTTGCAATATAAGTTAGGAAAGAGTCTAATCTAAATTATCATAGTTATTGACAATATGCATTGAAAACAATGAACATGATCCTGTTGTGAGTTTTTGAACTGTTTACACTTAACTGATGATCATTCAATATTGATCGTCAGAATCGATCAACAAATAAGACATGAGAACTCTTTGAAATACAGAATGTTCAGTATAAACTATTTCAACTAATTCCCCTATTTTTTTTTAGCTTTTTTTGTTGATCGATACTGATGATCGATATTGATTGATCAATAGTTAGATGTTGACAATTCAGAAATCAATATTTGAATAATGTTCATTTCTTTTTTAATGCATATTGCCAATCACTAAGATGAGTCTGATTGTATCATTATGTAACTTGTACAACGAAAGGTTGTACACTTTTTATAAACGCACCTGAATAAATTATGCTACAAGACTATTATTTATGAACGAACTAACCAGGTACAGGATAATAGGTCTGGGATTTTGGCGCGAACTTCATTCCTCCCTTTTAGCTAAATAACGTTTTGGCATTTTAACTTATGTTAATTCGTGATGAAAAAGCCTAAATCTAATTCCGAACCTCTAACCATCAACTGTAAATCATAATTCTAATTTCACACATACACACACACAGGTTGATAACCCTCATTTGATCCTAGTTACTAAGTGGACACTCTCAAGATCAGTTTAGCATCAGTCGAAGATCGTCCATAAATTATAATCTCACAGATTATACAATTAATAGACATAATGATATGTAAAAATAAAGAAATATCTAGATGGTAGGAACGGCGAGACTCTAATTTATGGATGACCTTCGAACGAATCTTAAGTGACATTGAGAAATATTAGCCAAACAGTCAATATAGAGTAGAAATATGTAATACAAAACGAAAGAAATAAAGTGGATACACTTCTTAGACGTGGTTCAAAAACTTGTCAAGATTAGAAAGAGGTTCAGAGGTTCTAAAACGAAAATGCATCCAGTAGAGGAAATTATACATACCGCTACAGAATAGTCGGCATCTGGAGTCATGATAAAGTCTCATAAACTCTTACTGCCTCGACCACATAACTTCAATATTGTTTATGTGCACTCCGGTTGTTGAGTGCACAAAATGCTACTTGTGGATAACGACACGTTACACATAACCAAGCCTATGTTGGCATCTTTACTCTCTCCAAATCATCCGTATTTATTGTAGTACCTGGCTGCAGCCAGTGTTACTGGTTCTTTTATTATCCAGTTCGCAATCATTGTCATAATTTACCTTAGTTAAGCATTATATATGGGGTTTTCATCACGAACTGACATCAGCTATAATGCCAAAAATCTATTTAACCAAATGGATGAAAGGCTTTCGCGTTAAAACCCGAGATCTATTATCTTATACCTGATTGGTTCGCTCACAAATTATAGTCTTGCCGTTTTACTTGTTATAGTTGCTCAATGATCACATTTTGTACAAAATTCCCTGTGAACCGATCGTACGTTAGCATTAAGCACTGAAGTAGGCACCGTAACTTTGAAATATTTAACATGCTTCTGATTGGCTCGTCCATAAATTAGAGTCTCGCAGTAGGAACAAATAGCCTAGATATTTAAGTAAGCCGCCTTAACATATTAGAACCCTTAAAATAGCAATAATCATTATTCAAATTAAACTCTTTATTGTTTGGCTAAACAACTAGGTATTTAAGCTATAAATAATATACACAAAGATAGATAGAGGTTGGCACTGGATTTCAGGGCACGCATTTCGTCCTATTTGAGACTCGTCGGCTGGGTGTCATTGCACCTCAAAACTTCTTTATGTTCACTCCGGGACCCGAATCCGGTACTGGTCGCTTCAAATACCATCGTGCTATCCACTTACTGTCCCGGAGTGAACAAAAACTCTTAGATGCAGCCACATCCAATTGACGAATATCAAGTAGGACGAAATTCATGTCAAACTGAATTCCACTACTAGCCACTATCCATATTTGCTTATCATACTTGTGAATGAAAGCTATATCGAGGAAATACGAAAAGGATGCATATATATTAATAAGAGACTGATCCATTGAAGTCCCAAACATCAAACAATATCAAGTGTATATAAATCATATACCTTTCAATATACATATTTATGACAAGTGATTTGTTAACTTACTGTTTTGTACGGAGGAATGTACCATGAATAGAAGTAAACTTAGATGATGAAGAAGAAGAAGAAGATGATGATGATGATGAAGAAGATGAAACAAGCAATTCAACATCATGAAGATAGTACACTACACTTTTTTTTGTTGTTCTTTATTGCTGTTTTTTTCTTTTATCTTTTCTTTTCTTCTCTTAAAATAGATGATAATGAATTAGTTCAGACTAATGAGACCATTGGTTGATTGAATAATTTACATGGAATGTAAAAGGCATCATATGATCTTATCATTCAGCTTATCGTATGTTTTATTTTGTTTTTAAAGGTTATATAGTGATCAGACAATGAGTTCAATAATAAGATACTTTTAATACAAGCTTGTTTGATTTGATAATGTATAATTTTGACTTAATAATGATAGTGTGATATGTGCTACTGATAACAATAGATATAAGTAGTATATATCGACCATTGAAATTAAAATGTCTGACGGTAGAAGGTTAAGATGATCTAAGGAAAGAGAATAAGAACAAAGAATGATTAATATGTAAACGAACGAACTGTAGTGTCGGTTATTATGTTAAGGCCATATTACCTTATTGTAGCTTTCGGACAGACTATTTCATTCATTCTACTGGAATCACATTCTGATCTTGATATTTATTCACTTATCAATCTTGACTGATTTTATATGAGCGTATATGAGTGTGTACACATCTTATCCTATTACTCATCACATGTATGTAACTTACTTTTGTGTAACTATAACCCATGATTAACGCTTGGTTAAATGGGAGTTGGGTTACCCTCATCTCCACTCTGAGTCGTTTCTCTTCTCTCTATTCCATTCGCTTTATATACGAAATATACGTGTTCACAAGTCTATTCTCTTTATTTGACTTATTTAATTCCGTTATTGATCAACGCGATTTAAATCGATGATTATATACGAGGATAGGTGACATATATATTCCAATAACAATCATCAATACGATCTCCTTCGAGTCTGATCTCGAGCCATTAAAGTAGAGAGCCCTTTCGACAATATCGTTTGATCAAAATGACGATTAAATAACGGGCCTACACAGAACAATGAAGCCTGAGATGATGGATTGACAGTTTGCAAATGAAGTATTTACTATATGGTTCTCAGATTTTACTCAGTAACTCTATAATTTTGTATTGGATTACGTTCAATTGTTCTCACTTGTGTTCTCGTTCACTATAAGGTCATAAGCCTATACAATTATAAAGCTGAACTCAAAAAATTTAGTCTCAAATTTATGTCAAGTAACCTAAGTCATCAGAACTATAAACTAGTCCTAGATAAACTCCCTATCTCAATTCATATTCACTATTGATGAGTGAAGAGAGACAATTAATAACAGAAGGGATTTGTGGAGATTTTAGAAATTTCACAGAATGAAATCATGAGTCAATTGAAGCTAAACCACCTTGGGAAACGTAGACGGCCGTTTAGTCCTAGCATGGGAATCCTCAGCAGTGCGCATCCACAACCCAGCACCCAGCGGGACTCGAATCCTGGACCCACCGGTTCCGCGTGTGAGCACCTAACCATCAGACCACTGAGCCGGCATTCAGTGGTGTTCATGTCTAACTTAGTTTATGACATATAAAGAAACAGCTTATGTAGTTCATATGACAAGATGAACGTAGAAATTAAAACTTGAAATTTCTCAATAATAATTCAAGTTGACATTAACATTGAACATTTTCATGTATCAAATAAGAAACATTGAAAGAGTTCATTTTATTAAAAATTATTTTTCTGTTTAACGTTTTTTATTTATTCAGTTAGTTTTCTATGAGATTAAGTCGCTAATCATATGCCCAACTCTTCTCCTTTATGTGGGCTTTAAATCAACAGAATCCCCTAGGGGGCTCCAGGTGGCGAGAACAGTGCAACACTATGGAAGCTTTTTCGACACTACGCCGTGCCTCAGAAGATAGTCAATATTATACGGAATTCATATGATGGATTAAACTGCAAAACTGTGCATGGAGGACAATTGACAGACTCGTTCGAGGTGAAGACCGGTATCAGACAAGGTTGCTTACTCTCACTCTCTCTCCCTCTTTCTCCTCGTGATTGACTGGAACATGAAAATATCAACATCTGGGGAAAAGCACGGAATACAGTGGACAAATAGGATGCAGTTGGACGATCTAGACTTCGCAGATCATCTGGCTCTTCTATAGAAAACACCACAAAAAATGCAGGAGAAAACGACCAGTGTATCAGAAGTCTCATCTTCAGTAGGTGTCAGTATAGACAAAGGGAAAAGCAAGATTCTCCGATACAACACAGCATGAACCAATCCAATCATAATTGACGGAGAAGATTTTGAAGATGTAATAACCTTTACATATTTGGGCAGCATCATTGATGAACACGGTGGATCTGATGCAGCTGTGAAGGTGCGAATCTAGATAGCAAGAGCAGCATATTTACAAATGAAGAACATCTGGAACTCAAAACAACTGTCTGTCAACCAACACCAAGGTCAGGATTTTCAATACAAATGTCAACACAGTTCTACTGTACGAGGCGGAAACTTGGAGAACTACCAAAGCAATCATCCAGAAGACACAAGAAGATACAAAATATTTCGGATCCATTGAACAGACACTACCAGCAACAACCTGCTGAGAGAAAGAACAAACTAGATTCCAGAGGAGGTGGAAATCAGGAAGAAGCACTGGAAGTGGATAGGACACACATTGATGAATGCTCCCAACTGCTTCACAAGACAAGTCCTCACTTGGAATCCTTAATGCTAAAGGAGAAGAGGACGAAGAAAGAGCACATTACTTGGAGAAATGGAGACAGATATGAAAAAGATGAATAACAATTGGAAAGAGCTGGAAAAGATTGCCAGGACAGGGTTAGATGGAGAGTGTTTGTAGTATGCCTAAGCTCCTCCACGAAGAGTAGCAGGCGTAAGTAAGTTTATTAAGACTAAAAACAAACATTCAGATTTGTAAAATTATATAAACCTGGAAGCACTGGATGGCCTTTTCGTCTTAGTATGGGACTCCTCAGCCACGATTAGATGAATCATATTTATTTGATTCATGATAATTATACCAACATTTTATAAATGATATATGGATCGGAATATATACTTACTTACTTACGCCTGTCCACACTGTCCAATTATTTCTCATAATCAAGAAATTTGACTTGAAGTGACGAAATCCATACGATTACTTGTTCAATGGTGATCCGTAGTGTCGCTATTCGGTCTGCGGACGACGGGAGAATGTGTGTTTTAGCACACAAACAATCAGGTACAGTAAAACAATCACTGGTACAAGTGGTTAAAGTAATAATAACTGGTTCCATTATACCAATCGCGCTCTGTTTATAAAAGTAGGTCACTACAATCTGAATGATTGTGATCAGATCACTTACATGAACGTTTAGCTTTAAAACTACTACTACTACTACTACTACTACTACTACTACTACTACTACTACTACTACTACTACTACTACTACTACTACTACTACTACTACTACTACTACTACTACTACTACTACTACTACTACTACTACTACTACTACTACTACTACTACTACTACTACTACTACTACTACTACTACTACTACTACTACTACTACTACTACTACTACTACTACTACTACTACTACTACTACTACTACTACTACTACTACTACTACTACTACTACTACTACTACTACTACTACTACTACTACTACTACTACTACTACTACTACTACTACTACTACTACTACTACTACTACTACTACTACTACTACTACTACTACTACTACTACTACTACTACTACTACTACTACTACTACTACTACTACTACTACTACTACTACTACTACGCCTACGACTACTACTGCTACTACTATTAATTAGTATACCGAACATAAAAGGACATGATTAAACGTTTATTTCATCTTTGATTAATCCGATATATTTTATAAGTAAACATCATTAAACCATAGAAATCTGTACTAACCAAATAGTAAACAATAATTTGTAAACTTAATCTTCTTTCTTATAATTATTAATAAGATAATAATGATTTGTGATTATTTTCAATATGATAATTGCTTGAATACTTGACTTACTTCATACTGATCATTAATGATTAATTATTATTATACTACATACATTTTTGTATTGTCTAGGAGTTAATCTACGACAAATATGCAGACAACATTGATTCCAAATTGTCAAGTGATTATCACTTTATTTTGTTTGAATAAAAAGAAAGATAAATAACTATCAGTATAAGATTGTGAAGTATGCCAAGTTTAGATGAATATCATGAATGGATCCCTATTGAAAACATGGAAGTATTAGACGATCAATTCATCCTAGTATGAGACTACTCAACAGTGTGGATCTTAGATAAGAACAAGATGGGAGTTCAGTACATTCAGATTTTCCATGGTGGTTTAGATTTAATCAACTCATGAGTTCAACTATTAAATTGCTAAAAATCACCACAAAACCTCTTTTCTGTTCATAATCATCCTGTACCCAAAAATGATTGATTTTAAGAGGTATTTGTTTGAGTTCTAGTAAGAAGCCATGATCAGTGGATTACAACTGTGTCTGTTGTGACGCAGTTACTCATTCAAGACAATGGTAAACGATGGCACAATTTCGTGGATTAGTTGAAGTTAGACATTAACACCATTGTATGCTGGCCAGGTCAGTGTTCTAGTGATTAAGCGTTTGCGTGCAAGACCAAAGGTCCCGGGTTTCCGTCTCATGTGAGGGATTTTTGGTTCACACTTTTAAGGAGTCTAACAATAGGCCGAAGCGGCCATCCAGTGCGTTTAGGTTTTCCATGGTGATTTTGCTTCAGGCGACTCAGGATGTCAACTATTGATATATGGAATCCGTCAAGGAGCACTAGTTCCCTCAAGAATACAGGCACAATTTGTTAACAAATGCTATAGCACGAAACCCGGATTCAGGGTTTCCTGTTAACTACCACCAATCACCATCTTATTTCAACATAGTACACATAGTGTCGAGTCACCTAGACTGGTGACCACATTGCCTCGATATTGCCTTAATTTACAAATATTATAAGTAAAGATGAATAATTGTGGCTAGTAGTGGAATCCAGGAATCACGTTATTAACCATTACGCATAGTATACAGATATACCAAGAACAGACCGATCAATTACGGTCCTAAGCATCAATGGAAAGATACAAATAAATAATACCAAGTGAATTTAAACTTCACCCCGTTACATAACCAAGTGGCTATTAGAACTCAGTACTAAAGTGGATAACGTGATGGTGTTTGAAGTGAACGGTACTGAGTTCGAGTCCCAGAGTGAACATCAACTTTGAGATGTAGGTATATTCACCTAAGCAGTCCCAAATAGGATGAAACGCGCCTACTGGATTCCACTGCTAGCCATTATCTATCCTCGCTTAGAATAATACTTTACCGTTATTTTATTTTTGCTGATGTTTAATTCATGTTGTACAGTGAAACGTTTGCAACAGTTTTATGAATGTCACATGTTACATAACTTAAAAGTTACCGTGATTTATATATCTACTTTACTATTTCTGATAAGCTCAAATTATCCGATAATTTGAGTCTTTAGTTTACAATGAAATGAAGTCTAGATAGTTTTTTAAGCTCCACCTGGAGTCCCTTCCGGGGGCTACTGCCGGTCTCAAGCCCGGATAAAGGAGGAGGGTTGAGCATGGGGTTAGCAACCCCATCCCGTAGAAAACTAACTCGCTAAAAAAGCGCTAACCAGAAAAAATTATTCGAACCTTTTAAACTCTACCCTGGGAGTCAGAAGGTCTTGATTTAGAAGTGTTATGACGCCTCATGATGAAAGCCGAGTTCCTTCGGAAGTCACAAGGCCGATGCCTCTTCTGACAACCAGAACAATCATTTATTAAGGTGCATGGAATGCTCGTACAATGTGGGAGATCGGGAGAGTCTTCCAAATCGCTCCTAGATAGTTCTTTGCTATTCATAATGATTAGTGTTAATACTCAAATCGTATTTCATACACTCTAAGGTGAACTTATTCAGCTTCATTCTTATTCAAATTTGTAAATAATTAAGTATAGTAGCGGAAAGCAAATTCACAGGTAAGATATCCTATGTCGAACTGATTGCAGTAGTTAGTTCTTCTCCTTCTTTTTTGAAGTTATAAAGAGCGTAAACCTTGGAACGCTATCTTGTTTATTGCCCCTTAGTATAAAGATGACCATTCGATAAGGAGAAATCTATTTTGACTGTATCATATATAACGTTATGATAATTCCGGTTAATTTCAATGCCTTAGCATATGATTCCTTTGATTTTATGGTCTTGCGAAACTTGAATTCAGTTTACTGTTTTACCAATCTACCTACTTAATTACTTACTTATTTACTTAGGCCTGTTAACCCCAATGGAGAATAAGCCATTGATCAGCATTCTCCAATCCACTCCGTTCCGTGTTTTCGTTTCTAATTCTATACAATTGTTGTTCGTGCTTTTCATATCTATCTCCATTTCTCCAAGTACTGTGTTCGTTGGTATTCCTCTTCTCCTTTGACCTTGAGGACTCTAAATGAGGGCTTGTCTTGTGAAGTACTTGGGAGCATTCATCAATGTATGTCCTATCCACTTCCAGTGCTTCTTCCTGGTTTCTTCCTCCTTTGGAATCTAGTTTGTTCTTTCTTTCAGCAGGTTGTTGCTGATAGTGTCTGTTCAATGGATCCGAAGTATTTTGTATCTTCTTATATCTTCTGGATGATTGCTTTGGTAGTTCTCCAAGTTTCCGCCCCATAAAGTAGAACTGTGTTGACATTTGTATTGAGAATTCTGAACTTAGTGTTGGTTGACAGACAGTTGTTTTGAGTTCCAGATATTGTTCATTTGTAGGTATGCTGCTCTTGCTATCCAGATTCGCACCTTCACATCTGCATCAGATCCACCTGCCCAGATATGTAAAGGCTTTTACATCCTCCAAATCTTCTCTGTCAATTGTGATTGGATTGGTGCATGCTGTGTTGTGTCGGAGAATCTCGCTTTTCTCTTTGTGTATATTGAGACCTACTACTGCTGAGGCTGCTGCTACACTGGTCATCTTCCCCTACCTTTGTCGTTGCGTGTGTGATAGAAGAGCCAGATCATCTGCGAAATGTAAATCGTTCAGGTGTATCCTAGATGTCCACTGTATTCCGTGCTTCTCCCCAGATGTTGACGTCTTCATGATCCAGTCGATCACCAAAGGAAGAGAAAGGGTGATAGTAAACAACCTTGTCTAGCATCGTTGATATGTTCTTTAACAGTTATTTATGAATGAATGGCATATTAGTGAAGAGGAAACAAATAGTCTCATTAAGTTTTTAATCACTTACTCTTTCTGTCTTATCTAAAGAATAAACTATATTTTTTTAAGATCATAAGAGTTTACTGAATACAATTACAAGGTTTAGTTACTTTAGAACTTCAGTATTTCATTCATGAATGACTTTTATGATTTGGAATCTTTTAATTAGATGAAGAACAGTTGTAATTAGATGATAAACAATAATGATTTGTTTCGATGTTTTATTAATATGATTAACTTACAATATTCCCTTGTTGAAGACATCAAGCTTAGCACATCCTTCATGGTATTAGATGGTGGTTGGAGGTAGTCGACAGGAAACCCCGGACCCGGGTTTCATGCTACTTTGAAGTCGTTGGTAAGGTGTACCTATAATCTTGAGGGAACTTGTGCTCCCTGACGAATTCGATCCCGTGTCACCCAGTTTCACAGTCAGAGATGTTACCACTGAGCTATCCGGCTCGCGACTGACCTCCTGTAGGACTGAAATGTATTCAAAATTGATTGATCACTTGGTGTTGATCAATGTCCTGTGTGTCAAGTCCTTATTTAGTGCAGATCGAATGTTATCGATCATGTTGCAATGTGGCCACCAGTCTAGGTGACTCGACACTGCATGCACTATATATTGAAATTAGATGGTGGTTGGAGGTAGTCTTGACATGCATGACATTGATCACCATCCAGTGATCAATCATTTGTGATTACATCCTTCATGTTAGTCTAGATTCAATTGACTTACGATCTCAACTATTGGAAGTGACTACAATCTTTACAAAAACCCCCCTTCTGATATGAATTTTATCATTATAATTATACTACTTATAAGTAACTAACCTATTTAACCTTAAAATTTACTTATATTTCATGATCACTTACATTTTTATGATCTGTCACCATGTGTTTTCTTTATGGACAACCTTCGATTAACGCTAAAAATGATCTTGACAATCTTCACCTACTTACTGGAGTTAATTGAACGTTGTCAATTCATGTAAGGAATCATGATTTACAATTAAATCGAAAGGTTAGAAAAATTAGATTTATTGTCTTTATCATAAATTGACATCAGCTATTATATCAAAATGGATGGATAAATTTCGCGCTAAACTCTAAGACCTGTTATCTTAAATTTGATTGTTTTGTTCATAAATTGCGGTTTCACCGATTTGTAATAGTGGATGTCTGTGTGTGTGTGTGTATGTAGATGGTATGGGAAATAAATGGGGTCAATCGTGATTGTTGTAGATCAACAGTTGGATGAATATTCAAACCTTCTTTCCTATCGAGAATAGAGGGATTTAGCATTATATGTAACGTTTAGGTTACTCATCTCTCTCTTTAGTTTTGGAAATGCATTTTTGAATTATTTTGATACCTTCAATAACAATTTGATGATTTAAACAGTTGAGATCATGAGTTAGTTGAAGTTACATCACCATGGGAAACCTGGAAGCACTGGACGGTTGTTTTGTCCTATTGTGGGACTCCTCAGTAGTGCGCATCCACGACTCATGATCTCAACTGTTGAAATTACTACAAT